GTATTGGTTGGTTATGAAGAGCAAACATGTTGGTTTTAGGTCCAGATTTTTGGTTTGGGCCGAGTCCGAGCATCGGTCGCCTCCTTTGAGTTCACTCCGTGGTTTTAGCCCAGACAGAAGAATTCTGTCACTTGCAGCTAGGGCTGAGTTTGAAAATAAGAGCGATGATGCTAAAGCCATGAAGAAAACCAGCGTGTTACTTATACTCATAAGTGATTAGTTACTAATTACCTCAGTAAAAAAGTAACTGAGCTGGTTACAGAGTTGTGTTAAAGATGGAATAATAAACATTTGTGGGGAAACAGCAGCAGAAACTGAGCAGAACAAACTTATAATGTGGAGTCATACATAAATAAATGCTGCAAATCAACATTTCATTTTTGTTTTTAATCACAGAATTGTTCGTTTCAATAGACTGATTCATCGGGCCGATATATTCCATTTTTTTCTATATCGGACGAAACATTTTTTTGAAAGCAGATATTAAAAAATAAAATAAAATTCAGGCACCTGTGTGGCCAGCTGCCGCCACTACTAGACTGAAGAATGGACCAGAAGGACCCCAACACAGTGTTTTATGTTTATTTTGTATTTGAAGTTAATTACCGTATTTTCCGGAGTATTGGTAAATGGTAAATGGTCTGAATTTGATATAGCGCCTTCTAGAGTCCTGGAACCCCCCCAAGCCGCTTTACAACACAATCAGTCATTCACCCATTCACACACACATTCACACACTGGTGGGGATGAGCTACAATGTAGCCACAGCTGCCCTGGGGCGCACTGACAGAGGCGAGGCTGCCGAGCACTGGCGCCACCGGTCCCCTCCGACCACCACAGCAGGCAACGTGGGTTAAGTGTCTTGCTCAAGGACACAATGACAGCGACGGACTGAGTGGGACTCGAACCTGCGACCTTCCGATTGCGAGGGGAGCACTTAACTCCTATGCACACCGTCGCACCAGCCATAAAATGTATAATCAAGAAGAAAAATACACATAAGTCGCATTTTGGGGGGAAATTTTTCTTACAAAATCTGAGGACCAAGTGTTTCACATTGCAAGACAAGTACCGCTAACAATAACAGAATAAACAACGCGGGCGCAGCAGCGCGCCACAGTCTCCAGCAGAGGGATGGCGGTGTTTGAAACCCTCCCAGCGGGACGGGGAAGCTCATTCCTGGTCCAGAGCCGGCCCGCAGCAGCGCGGTATAGCCTACATAATTTGGTATGTAAGTCGCAGGACCGGCCAGACTATGAAAAAAAGTGCGACTTATAGTCCGGAAAATAAGGTAAATATTAAGATTTATTGAATCAATTTATATTGCACACAGTGAAGCTTGGTTTATGCTTGACGCATTTACTTTCCGCTTGGTGATGCGGCTCACGGCTGGAACGCGCTTCACGACTCGCAGCGTTTATGGTTCGTGCAGCTCGTCTGCGGTGAGCCAATATTCTCCAAACTGTAGGGGGCAGCATGGAGCTCTACGGCATGCATCCAACACTACACCATAGTAGAAGTAGAAATTACTGTTTACAACACGGCATTCCAGCATTTTTAACAGCGTCCTCGTCTTTTCCGACAGTGCGAGCTATTTCTCTCCAAGAATTATTAACAACATGTTGATCACGGTGATCTCTGAGAGCTGAATCATACGAATGTCTGTGTTTACGAACCTCTGCAATACTAGTTCTTGCCAGTCCGCCATGCTTTTCCGCTTACCGACCGTCTGCGTGGTTAGAAATTTCCTAGGTGCGCGGTGCGGAAAGTTTGAGCCGTGCGGAGGCGCGGTGGAGGGGCGTGGTTGTTAAAATGACGCAATTTCGCCGTGCGGACCTCACGGACGCATCAAGCATAAACCAACCCTTGAGTTTTTCAGTTGTCTTTCACAATTAATGTGCTGCTAAAGTGTGTGTGTGTGTGTGTGTGTGCGTGCGCGTGCATGTGTGCGCGGGTGGATATATCTCAGCCTTAATAATCAGCTTTAGACATCGGCCATCGGCAACAAAAGTCTTTAAAAATCTGCATCGGCCTTAGAAAAAACCATATCGGTTGGCCTCTGATTTCAAACACAAGAAAATGTTTTTATAGGAGAATCTTAAATGTACAAATGTGCTTTTTAACTTGTAATAATTCAAATATTCACAGTCAGGCTGAGCAGGTCTTACTGATGCTGAAGCAGAAGAGAGTAAATATGTTAGACATTTTTGTTTGTTTATTTTCTGTTGTGTGTGTGTGTGTGTGTGTGTGTGTGTGTGTGTGTGTGTGTGTGTGTGTGTGTGTGTGTGTGTGTGTGTGTGTGTGTGTGTGTGTGTGTGTGTGTGTGTGTGTGTGTGTGTGTGTGTGTGTGTGTGTGTGTGTGTGTGTGTGTGTGTGTGTGTGTGTATTTCTAACCCATCTCTCTGGTGTCATCTGTGCTATCGCTCATTCCAGAGATGAAGCAGAAATGTTAACACCTGACAGCCTAAGTGTTTTGTTTCTTGGCAGAACATATAATTATTCAAATGAGTGCATTCAAACGCATCACATTAGCTGGAATTAATTAGTCCCTGCATATTTTAGCATCATCAATTCCCTGGCAAATCAGTGTGATTGCTGCTAAATGTCACTTGGAGTTAAACGGAACAAGAATCTAAAGGATTTTCTATTTCTAACCTCTTCAAAGGTTTCAAACTACAGAAAAGGATATTAGGGATTTACACCATTCAGCCGAATCATGACGGGGTGTAAATAAAATAAAACCCACATTTTTCTGATGCGAAACATTACATTTTTATTCATTTGGATATTTGTCATTTACCACGCACTCGAACCCACAGATTCGCTGCTGCAGGCGGGAATCTGTGGGTCTGCAGCGGTGCCCCTCTTCACGTGTCGGCGGGACTTCCCACGTATGGAAGGGCCGCCCTCCTGTTCGCTGCTCAGACATCCGATCATTAATTCCTCGTCACAATCTTCTGTCTCAGATCATCCTCCCGTCATCAGCTGGAAGCAGCAGGTGTTCCTGATCCACTGAAGCGTCGTTTCCATCAGCCTCCAAATACGTCGTGTTACTTGAACTAGCCAGTAAACAAAAACGACAACTGTTCCTACCACCCAGCTTCAGCACTTCCATGTTTGGGTGTGACCCACCTTCCATCAGAGTTGAGCGTGTTCTAATCTAGTGAAGGATTATTTTTATAGATGTGCTGTTACCGGGTCTCCACGGGCCCTTTGAAAGTCTTAAATTTGGCTCCCTTTAACCTGCAGATCCCCCGTGTTACTAAACAGAAATGCTAATAAAAACATCCAGTTTTCCGAATATGGTGCAAAGTCCTTTTATTTCATTAAATCAACGGGAGTGGGACATTTAAAGGCTCAGGAAGCCTTTGCAGGAGTTTTGCAGCCATACATTTGAGTTGATTGGGGTCTTGCATCATATCACAGTGATTAGATTAGTGTAATGTTGGGTACTTTTATGTTAATTATTCATTCATGTAATAAACAAACGGACATTTTATTATGTTCCAGTCTGTTTAGTCACTTATGATTTAGTACAGTAGTAATTAACAGTGAATAAAGTCTGCTCCATTAAGAGGGGATTACATGTTTCTTGCATATTTTTATGAAAAGGTAACAGAATAGTTACTTTTACTGGTAATTAGTTACGTATAATCGTGTAACTCAGTAACTACACAGACTTGCTTATGTTCCCAACACTGTCCATCACATGGTGACGTAAACCGGACCGGTCCCGAGTTGGCCTGAGCCAGTCACGCCGGTGGGGGTTTATGCTCAGCTTTTACAACATAAGTTACTCACAAAGTCACTTTTAGATTCTGAGAGTACAGTTGGTAATAGATGCATACATCATTATCAGGTTGAGTAGCGCAATGCACACAATGAGCCGCCGATAACGTGTGTGCACGTGTAATTTATGGGTGCGTAGTCCTGAGTAAGAAGGTAACAACGGGGTGAATAATGAGCTGTCGATAAGTGATTGTGCTGCATCACTTTGAATTTGCCGTCTGAATACTTATTGATCAGCACCTCCGAGCGTCTCTGTTTAAACACCACTAGCCGCTGTACTTATTACCCACTCTGACAAAGATGGAACGGCTTCGCCAAACAACGCCGTGGAGGCGCATGCAGCTATGCAGACATCTATTATGGGCTGTACGGAAACTCTGCTGAGACTTTAGACCCTTTTTCATTCACATCTTCATCTCAGAACCAGTATTCTGCTTTTGTAAGATGTCCGGTCTCGAGAACACCGCCAGTTATTACCTCTGTGTGTTTCTAAAGAACACATCTGCTGCTCCTAACTGGTGTCTTGCATATTTCACCGGATTCTTCTGAGAACCGATGCGTCTGTGGAACCCAGTCAGGTGCAGTCAGGTTGGTTTTCCTCCCCTGGCCCGACTTCTGGGCGGACAAATGGAGACACAAGCACACACACACCCCCACCACCACACCCCTGTTCTCACACATGTATTCATGTTTTATCATGTTACACTTATTTCCCTAAATGATGGTTTCTGAGTCGATCTTTAAACGTCAGACTCAAATGTTTGCATCTTTGATTTAGAGCATTTCTGTTTTTAATCCCAGATTCTCTGTTCTGTTGCTGATGTGAAACTTTATAGGTTCTTACATTGTATTAGTTGTCTTTCAGGTTTTTAAGAGCGTTAAGCTTTTCTTGGAGAACAAGGAACATGGAGACGACCTCTTCGACCGCCTCAATGTGAGTGGGTCTATTTTTGGGCTGTGATCACAACTCTTCAGGTGAAAGCTCGGATCAAGTTGGACTTCTGATTTACTGAATTTTGTTGTCAAAAGGGAACAAAGCGGTTAAAAATGCTCTGCTGGAAATAGCTTTGAAGTGTTTAGAATAACTGCATCAAAATTAACGTTGGCTTGTAGAAAAGTGTCGGAAGCTTCTCAGGAGAGTAAACGTGGAAGAAGACCGTGAAAGCTAAATAGAATTCCTTTTTCCCTTTATGGACAAAAAGCTGCAGTAAGAGGAAAAGCGAAGACTAAATTGCAAGGTGCAAGAGATGAGATTGACTGAGGATGAGCCGTTGGTGTGGAGAGATGAAAGGGCTAAAGAGAGGTAACGGGACGTGAGAAGAGGGAGAATATTAGAGGCAGAGACTGAAGGCAGGAGAGGAGTTTAAAAGGAGACGGGGATGGGCTCTGGCAGATAAAAATGACACTGCGCTGGGGAAAATTTAGAGCGAACATGCTGGGTAGATGAATTTCCACACATCAAATCCTGCATCCTCTCTGGCTGCAGGTAGCCAGGCCACAGAACGCTCCAGCCGTCCATATAAAGCTGTGTTCTTCCCTCTAAGCCATGTTAATGCAGACCGGCCCCTGGCTGGAGCGTTCTGACTGGAGTGGCAGGTTGGTTAGTAGCTAGCTAGCTAGCTTATATAAATCACCACCTTTAAGACGTGCATCAGCTGACGTGACGGGAGAACCAGATGCAGTAAACACGGTGAACATCACAGCTTGCCACGTGGACGTGCGTTTACTGACGGATGAGAAAGACTGAGTCTGGGATGCAGGAACATGAAGGCACATGCCTGCTTCTCCTGGCTCCTGTGATATCCCAGAGCCTTAGTTAATTTATGGGATGTTAAACGTTTCTGTAGAAGCTGACGTGTGACACAAACGTACCCTGAAAAGGTTTTGAGTGTGCAGCAGTGAGGCGTTGTGGGACTGAAAATGGAAACAACTGGCTGTTTAGTTCTGGTAGATCCGAGAGCGTTCCCGTCTATGCCGGCTGTTTAGTTCTGGTAGATCCGAGAGCGTTCCCGTCTATTCCGGCTGTTTAGTTCTGGCAGATCCGAGAGCATTCCCGTCTATTCCGGCTGTTTAGTCCTGGTAGATCCAAGAGCGTTCCCGTCTATTCCGGGTGTTTAGTTCTGGTAGATCACAGAGCGTTCCGGTCTATTCCGGCTGTTTAGCCTGGCAGATCTGACAGCGTTCCCGTCTATTCCGGCTGTTTAGTTCTGGTAGATCCAAGAGCGTTCCCGTCTATTCCGGCTGTTTAGTTCTGGTAGATCACAGAGCGTTCCGGTCTATTCCGGCTGTTTAGCCTGGCAGATCCGACAGCGTTCCCGTCTATTCCGGCTGTTTAGTTCTGGTAGATCCAAGAGCGTTCCCGTCTATTCCGGCTGTTTAGTTCTGGTAGATCCAAGAGCGTTCCGGTCTATTCCGGCTGTTTAGCCTGGCAGATCCGACAGCGTTCCCGTCTATTCCGGCTGTTTAGTCTGGCAGATCCGACAGCGTTCCCATCTATTCCGGCTGTTTAGTTCTGGTAGATCCGAGAGCGTTCCCGTCTATTCCGGCTGTTTAGCCTGGCAGATCCGACAGCGTTCCCGTCTATTCCGGCTGTTTAGTTCTGGTAGATCCAAGAGCGTTCCCGTCTATTCCGGCTGTTTAGTTCTGGTAGATCCAAGAGCAGTCCGGTCTATTCCGGCTGTTTAGCCTGGCAGATCCGACAGCGTTCCCGTCTATTCCGGCTGTTTAGTTCTGGTAGATCCAAGAGCGTTCCGGTCTATTCCGGCTGTTTAGTTCTGGTAGATCCAAGAGCGTTCCGGTCTATTCCGGCTGTTTAGTTCTGGCAGATCCGACAGCGTTCCCGTCTATTCCGGCTGTTTAGCCTGGCAGATCCGACAGCGTTCCTGTCTATTCCGGCTGTTTAGTTCTGGTAGATCCAAGAGCGTTCCGGTCTATTCCGGCTGTTTAGTTCTGGTAGATCCAAGAGCGTTCCGGTCTATTCCGGCTGTTTAGTTCTGGCAGATTCGAGAGCGTTCCCGTCTATTCCGGCTGTTTAGTTCTGGCAGATCCGACAGCGTTCCCGTCTATTCCGGCTGTTTAGTTCTGGTAGATCCAAGAGCGTTCCGGTCTATTCCGGCTGTTTAGTTCTGGTAGATCCAAGAGCGTTCCAGTCTATTCCGGCTGTTTAGTTCTGGCAGATCCGAGAGCGTTCCGGTCTATTCCGGCTGTTTAGTTCTGGCAGATCCGAGAGCGTTCCCGTCTATTCCGGCTGTTTAGTTCTGGCAGATCCGAGAGCGTTCCCGTCTATTCCGGCTGTTTAGTTCTGGCAGATCCGAGAGCGTTCCGGTCTATTCCGGCTGTTTAGTTCTGGCAGATTCGAGAGCGTTCCGGTCTATTCCGGCTGTTTAATTCTGGCAGATTCGAGAGCGTTCCCGTCTATTCCGGCTGTTTAGTTCTGGCAGATCCGAGAGTGTTCCCGTCTATTCCGGCTGTTTAGTTCTGGCAGATCCGAGAGCGTTCCCGTCTATTCCGGCTGTTTAGTTCTGGCAGATCCGAGAGCATTCCGGTCTATTCCGGCTGTTTAGTTCTGGTAGATCCGAGAGCGTTCCGGTCTATTCCAGCTGTTTAGTTCTGGCAGGTCCGAGAGCGTTCCCGTCTATTTCGGCTGTTTAGTTCTGGTAGATCCGAGAGCGTTCCCGTCTATTCCGGCTGTTTAGTTCTGGTAGATCCGAGAGCGTTCCCGTCTATTCCGGCTGTTTAGTTCTGGCAGATCTGAGAGCGTTCCGGTAGATCCGAGAGCGTTCCGGTCTATTCCGGCTGTTTAGTTCTGGTAGATCCGAGAGCGTTCCCGTCTATTCCGGCTGTTTAGTTCTGGCAGATCCGAGAGCGTTCCCATCTATTCCGGCTGTTTAGTTCTGGTAGATCCGAGAGCGTTCCCGTCTATTTCGGCTGTTTAGTTCTGGTAGATCCGAGAGCGTTCCCGTCTATTCCGGCTGTTTAGTTCTGGTAGATCCGAGAGCGTTCCCGTCTATTCCGGCTGTTTAGTTCTGGTAGATCCGAGAGCGTTCCCGTCTATTCTGGCTGTTTAGTTCTGGTAGATCCGAGAGCGTTCTGGTCTATTCCGGCTGTTTAGTTCTAGTAGATCCGAGAGCGTTCCCGTCTATTCTGGCTGTTTAGTTCTGGTAGATCCGAGAGCGTTCCCGTCTATTCTGGCTGTTTAGTTCTGGTAGATCCGAGAGCGTTCCCGTCTATTCTGGCTGTTTAGTTCTGGTAGATCCGAGAGCGTTCCCGTCTATTCCGGCTGTTTAGTTCTGGTAGATCTGAGAGCGTTCCCGTCTATTCCGGCTGTTTAGTTCTGGTAGATCTGAGAGCGTTCCCGTCTATTCCGGCTGTTTAGTTCTGGTAGATCTGAGAGCGTTCCCGTCTATTCCGGCTGTTTAGTTCTGGTAGATCTGAGAGCGTTCCCGTCTATTCCGGCTGTTTAGTTCTGGTAGATCCGAGAGCGTTCCCGTCTATTCTGGCTGTTTAGTTCTGGTAGATCCGAGAGCGTTCCCGTCTATTCTGGCTGTTTAGTTCTGGTAGATCCGAGAGCGTTCCCGTCTATTCCGGCTGTTTAGTTCTGGTAGATCTGAGAGCGTTCCCGTCTATTCCGGCTGTTTAGTTCTGGTAGATCTGAGAGCGTTCCCGTCTATTCCGGCTGTTTAGTTCTGGTAGATCTGAGAGCGTTCCCGTCTATTCCGGCTGTTTAGTTCTGGTAGATCTGAGAGCGTTCCCGTCTATTCCGGCTGTTTAGTTCTGGTAGATCCGAGAGCGTTCCCGTCTATTCCGGCTGTTTAGTTCTGGTAGATCCGAGAGCGTTCCCGTCTATTCCGGCTGTTTAGTTCTGGTAGATCCGAGAGCGTTCCCGTCTATTCTGGCTGTTTAGTTCTGGTAGATCCGAGAGCGTTCTGGTCTATTCCGGCTGTTTAGTTCTAGTAGATCCGAGAGCGTTCCCGTCTATTCTGGCTGTTTAGTTCTGGTAGATCCGAGAGCGTTCCCGTCTATTCTGGCTGTTTAGTTCTGGTAGATCCGAGAGCGTTCCCGTCTATTCTGGCTGTTTAGTTCTGGTAGATCCGAGAGCGTTCCCGTCTATTCCGGCTGTTTAGTTCTGGTAGATCTGAGAGCGTTCCCGTCTATTCCGGCTGTTTAGTTCTGGTAGATCTGAGAGCGTTCCCGTCTATTCCGGCTGTTTAGTTCTGGTAGATCTGAGAGCGTTCCCGTCTATTCCGGCTGTTTAGTTCTGGTAGATCCGAGAGCGTTCCCGTCTATTCTGGCTGTTTAGTTCTGGTAGATCCGAGAGCGTTCTGGTCTATTCCGGCTGTTTAGTTCTAGTAGATCCGAGAGCGTTCCCGTCTATTCTGGCTGTTTAGTTCTGGTAGATCCGAGAGCGTTCCCGTCTATTCTGGCTGTTTAGTTCTGGTAGATCCGAGAGCGTTCCCGTCTATTCTGGCTGTTTAGTTCTGGTAGATCCGAGAGCGTTCCCGTCTATTCTGGCTGTTTAGTTCTGGTAGATCCGAGAGCGTTCCCGTCTATTCCGGCTGTTTAGTTCTGGTAGATCTGAGAGCGTTCCCGTCTATTCCGGCTGTTTAGTTCTGGTAGATCTGAGAGCGTTCCCGTCTATTCCGGCTGTTTAGTTCTGGTAGATCTGAGAGCGTTCCCGTCTATTCCGGCTGTTTAGTTCTGGTAGATCCGAGAGCGTTCCCGTCTATTCTGGCTGTTTAGTTCTGGTAGATCCGAGAGCGTTCCCGTCTATTCTGGCTGTTTAGTTCTGGTAGATCCGAGAGCGTTCCCGTCTATTCCGGCTGTTTAGTTCTGGTAGATCTGAGAGCGTTCCCGTCTATTCCGGCTGTTTAGTTCTGGTAGATCTGAGAGCGTTCCCGTCTATTCCGGCTGTTTAGTTCTGGTAGATCTGAGAGCGTTCCCGTCTATTCCGGCTGTTTAGTTCTGGTAGATCTGAGAGCGTTCCCGTCTATTCCGGCTGTTTAGTTCTGGTAGATCCGAGAGCGTTCCCGTCTATTCCGGCTGTTTAGTTCTGGTAGATCCGAGAGCGTTCTGGTCTATTGGTCTATCGATTATCTTAAAGATCAAATGAGCAGATTAGAAAATTGAAGCTTGCAAATCGACTGGAAATGTTTCGCTTGAGCTGTTTTTAGAGACGAGCTTCGTGCTCGATCACATTCCAATCTGGCCTTCGGCAGCAGCTGACGTGTGTTTGTTAGAAATGCTATAGAACAACCTTTAGCCCAAGGTCAAAAGGTCATTCAGCAGCGATCGATTTTACTGAGTATAAATAAAAACCTGGATGCTGAAACACGTCCTGTTCAAATGAAGATTCGTCCTGAAGCATCTTCTTTAAGAATCCTTACCGTCTCACACACACCTGTCCTGACTCACCTGTGTTCCTCAGCCACGTCTCGTTGTAGCTGTAGTAGTCGGGTTTCACTCATAGTTATCATTTTCTCTCCACTCTGCCTCACTTTTCCAATCAAGTGATTGTTTTTTCATGTCAGCAGCAGGGTTTGGTTGCATCGCCGCTAGTCCACTTGTAGCTTTTGGTCTAACATGTTGCATCTTGTTTTGTAGGCGAGAAAATGGAAAAAGCTGCAATACGGCATTCTAATAAGATCTCAGTAGATGACATAAATGACCTACACACACACGTGTGTGTGTGTGTGTGTGTGTGTGTGTGTGTGTGTGTGTGTGTGTGTGTGTGTGTGTGTGTGTGTCGGGGGACACGAGGGTGTGAGAACGTGTGTGTGTGTGTGTGTGTGTGTGTGTGTGTGTGTGTGTGTGTGTGTGTGTGTGTGTGTGTGTGTGTGTGTGTGTGTGTGTGTGTGTGTGTGTGTGTGTGTGTGTGTGTGTGTGTGTGTGTGTGTGTGTGTGTGTGTGTGTGTGTGTGTGTGTGTGTCGGGGGACACGAGGGTGTGAGAACGTGTGTGTGTGTGTGTGTGTGTGTGTGTGTGTGTGTCGGGGGACACGAGGGTGTGAGAACGTGTGTGTGTGTGTGTGTGTGTGTGTGTGTGTGTGTGTGTGTGTCGGGGGACACGAGGGTGTGTGTGTGTGTGTGTGTGTGTGTGTGTGTGTGTGTGTGTGTGTGTGTGTGTGTGTCGGGGGACACGAGGGTGTGAGAACGTGTGTGTGTGTGTGTGTGTGTGTGTGTGTGTGTGTCGGGGGACACGAGGGTGTGAGAACGACCTCGGACTGGCGGCCCCCCTCATTAGTGTTGCGGAGACGGAGCTGGGCAGCTCATTAGCGGGGCAGACACGGCAGCATACGTGTACCTGTGTGGTCCCCAGCACATACGTGTTCTGGCGTTGGTGAACACATGAACAAACCCTCTCATAATGGGCCGTGTGTGCTTTCTGAAACCTTCCAACAGCAGTTTAGGAAGTATTTTTGCTTTGGTCAGCGAGATCCTGAGGAGAATGTCACGTGTTTCACCACAAAGCTTGCAGATCATAATTAGGCTGATTAGACTTGGTTTATACTCGTTTCCCCTCTAGTCCTCAGGTGACTTGTTGCTTTATAATGAAATCTAGATTTCCCTGCTGGTTTCCCTCACATATCATTAAATATGCTGTTTATTCTCCAGAATATCTGTGTAACTTCATGCTGTTCATGCTTTTTAATCTGTGATGGCGTCTCTGAGCTGCGGTCATTTTAATGATGTCATCTGACCGCTGGCTTCCAAAACCCTAACTTTTTAATCCCCACAGAAATGCCAGATGGGAAATAACACTGTGGTCTTTTTTAACCTCCAGCTCTAATGGGTGCTAATAAAGGCATACGTGGTATTTTATGTTCGTTTGCTGTAATCTAGACGATTGTAGCGCCACTGGAGCACACAACCACAGTGCCACCTGGTGGCTGAGAGCGTGCTGAGCCTCTGGTTCAGTGGTGACGGTCCTTTCTGTTTGTCATTGCAGACGAGCCTTCTGAACAAACATCTGAGCTCTTTGATGCCTGGGCTGACTGCAAAGGTCTTCAGGACCTATAACGCCTCCATCACCCTGCAGCAGCAGCTCAAAGCTCTCACAAACCGTAAGACTGCAGAACAGGTTGAGTCCTGAACGCACCGGCGTGTTCAGCACAGCGTTGGTCATCGTTTAAATCTCACACACCTGAGATATTTGTAGCTGATGACAACATTTGACCACTGTACCAGTTGTTGCTGTCAGATGCTGCACGTTCCCTTCTTTTCTCATGTTGGCTTTGCCACTGGGCGTCATGTATTATATACAGCTCATGCAGTATTTATTGTTTTTACCACGCAGAGTCTGACAATGAGGCAGAGAAGCTGCTGTCTTATAACCGCGCTAACAGAGCAGTTGCTATTCTCTGTAACCACCAGCGGGCGCCGCCAAAGACCTTTGAGCAATCGATGGCCACCCTTCAGACTAAGGTGCAGTAACTGTGCTTTACGTTCTTGGACACAGTAACTAATTATTGTCACTGTTCTGGTGCCACATCTGGTTAGACGTCGTCCTCGTGTCTTCCTCTCAGATCGAAGCTAGAAAGGAGCAGCTGGCTTTAGCCAAGACTGAGCTGAAACAGGCCAAAAAGGAGGCCAAGGCCAAAGGCAACTCGGACCCCAAACTGCAGAAGTACGTGTTTTAATATTAAAGTAATCTGGATACACTGACATATCATCATTGGTAGTATTCTGTAAGCAATGCCTTGTAGCCGATACTAGTGGCTTTAAGTGCTTCTGAACAACTCATATCGCTGCTGCTGTGCAATTATTACAACTTTACATTTGCTTCAGTGTTTTGACCCGCAGTGTCCGTTAAGAGAAGCTTGAAACCATGAATCAGGCCTGCATCTAGTTGCTCAACAGCTATCTATGCTCCTACAGAGGTGTTCAAATGTGTTTAGCTGCTAAGAACTTCCTGTGGAGGAAGTGATTTATTTCCACCAGGTTTGATTTTTACTGGAACTGTTCTACATCTTTGTAGATTACAGGATGCAGCTGCGTTATAAAAGTTATGTTGTGTCTGACTGTGTTTTCATCTTTGTAAGTTTGGTGGAGCGAAAGAAGGCAGCAGTGAAGCGCTGTGAAGAGCAGCTCCTGAAGATGGAGGTCCAGGCAACTGACCGAGAGGAGAACAAACAGATTGCTCTTGGTACCTCAAAGCTGAACTATCTGGACCCGCGTATTTCTGTGGCTTGGTGAGTCCATCCCAGCCTGGAAGGCCACTCTACTGGACCAGCACAACTGCTGCGGTGTTGCCTTGGTTACTTAGGGTTTGGAGGCCTGATTAGGACACAGCTCCTACTGCAGCTTCGCTAATGAAGTCCCCTCCGGCTCTGGGTAGATCTAGTCACTCCCAAACAACAGGAGTGTGTGCAATAACACATTTTTACAGATGTTTTGATCAGAAATGTTTTCAACACACTAAAATGATGCAGAAGTTCTGGTAAAGGTTTTTATTCAAACATGACTGCTGCTGTGACACATGGAGCTCTGCTTGCTTGTCACTAAAAAACTATTATTTGAAAAAGAATAGAAGTAAAACGATGTTTTTCTCCTTGTTTCTGCAGGTGTAAGAACATGGGGGTGCCTATAGAGAAAATCTACAATAAAACCCAGCGGGAGAAGTTTGCTTGGGCCATCGATATGACCGAGGCGGACTTTGAATTCTGAAACTCCAGCAGCAGGAGCTTGGAGCGGTCTGCTCCGTGTGTTACGCTGGTGTGACAGTTGAAGCTTCGCCTTGATGTTAACTGTTGTTCCTTCTTGTTTATTTTTGACTGAATTAGGAGGATTGCTGTTGTTTTGTTTTATATTGATTTCAATAAAAGTTCCTTCTCGGCAGTAAAGGTGCGATTAAACTCTAAATAAAAGCGGCTCATTCCAGTTACGCCACACATCTAAACATCTAAACGACCAGTTTCTCCCAACAACAAAATGTTATTTAATGCATGAAGAAGTTGGAGCATGCAACATTCACATATTCCAGATGGAGTATTGTGCATAAGTCTTAAGCCAGACAGTCCTTTTATGAAGCTGGACTCTTACAATATTAGACTCGTTGCAGAATAATTATCCTAACAGTAATTCATTCACTAATGAAAATAGAAAATCTCAGTTTTAGGTGCCGGATGTCCTCAAAATAGAGTAAAAAAGCAAATGGGATGGAGGTAAAATGTGGCAAAAAGTGGGCAACCCTGGGTGATCAGGTGTAACTGCTTTTTCAAGCCTAAACCATCAAATCTGAAGTTTGCATACAAAGATTAAGAAGAAATGTAAAGGCCTACATACTTAAATAGGTGGCTCAAGACTTTTGCATAGTACTACTGTGAATAATGTACAGCACAGTTCTGGCTTATAACGTATAAAACAAGCACCCTAGCGTTAACTTTAGTTATTCAGAAACTAATCAAACCACTGAAATGGATTGCAAACTGCAGTATAGAGATAGCTTTAATAGATCAGACGTGGAATGCATTTAGCACATCTGGAGCAACAGGGCTGGTGGTCAAACACGGCAGCCCGTTCAGTATGTCGTATCCATGCTGCGGCCTGGCAGCCAGTGGGGTTTGCTCCTCAGACGAGCTTTACCGACATGGATCCAGCTGCACCATCACATACGGGGACTGACACATTAAACGCTGGCAACTAAAGAACCTCTAGAAACTGCTTTCTTCCACCTGAAGATCAGAAAGACATATCAAACTATTCTACCTTGCAAATGATGCTCAACCTTTAGCTTTAACATTACCGTAACCATCTCACAATATTCAGTATATAAAAACATCTAACATAAGTCATAAGTAATTTTTAGTGAAGCCTGCTGCCTCCAGACACACTGGACCGACTTCACACCGCGTGGTTAAGAAACCTGTAAGACAGAAAAAAGCATTCATAACTGGCGTGCAATTTAAAATGTACTAACTAGAAATTCAAATATGACGTCCTAAAGCAGTGCTCCCCAATCCTGGTCCTCAAGGGCCACCATCCTGCAAACTTTAAAGGTTTCTCAGCTTTCACACGCCTGCATTTGATCAGTGGATGAATAACAAGCTTCTACAGACTTTGATGGCATTGTGACAGGGTGAACATCCTGTCCCTGGCTACTTGGCCATGGGGATGTCCCTTTGGCTGACTGGTTAGCACATGTGACTCTCACCCGGGAGTCTGCGGATCGAATCCCGCCCAGGTCCATGTTTCTCCACCTTGCCACAACATAAACGGGTAATACAACTATTAAGTCTGTCGAAGAAGGAAACCACTAAAACATGCTGGACGGTGGCCCTCCAGCCTTGGTATACCATTTCACTTTTTACCTTCATTACGATCCCTGACCCTCTTTAGCCTTTTCCGGCGTTGCCTCAATCTCTTCAACGCCGGCCTGAGTCATCAGGTCAGCGATGTTCTTCTCTAGGTCATCAATACGCGTGCTCATCTCATCAAGTAGAGATTTGGTTAAGGAAAACCAGAAAACTAACACTTTCCTGGGTGAAATCCGTTAGTATGTGATTAAAAGGAAAAGTATTTAGTAGATTTGAATGACAATGCTCTGTTCATTAAAATTGTTAGGATATTCCTTCCAATTATCTGGTCTGACATGGTCTGAAACTTGTCCTGCATCTGCTGCAGCAGTGTCTGAACCTGTAGAAGAAACAAGGTGTTAATCAAGAAATGATGACGCTGATATAATACACATCAAAATAGTCAAATGTATAGTTGATTAGTTTCTTAGGATGTGAAACAGTCGTGACATTTTAATTACCGGTATCTGGGAATTGAAAACAAAGCCTGTGATCTATGAACGATATCTAAAAGAGGCGAAAATCCATCAGCTGTGTCCCCATGCCAACGGAGGAAAAGATTGGTAACCATGGAGATCTGCTTTTAATTCATTCTTAGAGGATGTGTGGTGGACAGAGAAAACACCCACACATTCGCAGTTAGGACTCTGGTCATCTCAAAAGGCAGCTAGCTGTGAGGGGTCATTCAGCTAGCTGTGAGGGGTCATTCAGCTCTTAAACGCCTCTCACGAATGCTCATCTCCATGGAAACACTGAAACATTGGCCAAGATGTCTTTGTGAGACACTAAATGATTACGTAACGCGCAAATGTGCTGTTTAATATCACATTTGAAAGAGAACAATTGAAAACATGTCTTAATTGTTCAATAAATCTTACTGATGTAATAATGCATCCTACAGTAACGAATGCTAAAGCGGTTTGTTGTGACTGATTAAGCTAAATGTCAGGACAGTTTAGCCAATGCAACATTTGATCAACAGACGTGTTAAACTGGAATATTTACACAAGTAAGCGTGATTATGTGAATACCCAAATACACTTGAGCAATCTTACTAGCAATGCAAGCTAGCAGTAGCTAGTAGCACTAGCTTGCATCACGGTCACGACTCACCACATTTGTAAGGTCCTGCACCGTCTTGGGATCCGTCTCAGCCATGTTGTGAATGTTAATCCGTGCCTTCACAATACAATAAATCAGCTATAAATCACCGTTTTACTATTGGACCGCTCAGAACAGACACTCGGTAGAATCTTCTGCAGTCAGCTGTTCCCACAACAAAGACAAGTCTCGCGAGAGTTGAGTGGTGCTGGGCCGTGTGGAAGATGGAGTTCTGATGGGAAAACATGCACGGTACTTGTGTAGTTCATGCTCAGCTTGCCAAGAGACGCGCTTCTTTATGAGTGTAGGCTCTAATTGTCCATTACATGAATCGGTTGTAGCCATAGACTGTACATACTTACATACTGTAGGTTGTAGCCTTTCATAAGAAAACATGTTCATGTCCGCGCGAGCGCGTGCATGCGCACGGCCGAGCGCGCACGTCTTCCTCCGTTTTCAGCAAGTTTGGATTTGAAACTTGGAGCTGCCAAGAGTTTCCGTGTGTTTTCACGCCCAGACTGCGTGAGAGTGGAGCCTTGTACATAAATAAGTTTGTTTCACACTGACGGGACGTGAATGAAGGCGCCTGGTAAGTAAAGCAGCAGCAGAGGATGTTTAGGAATGTCGCGACATCATAATTCCAGAGAGCGAATCAGATCCGCGGGTATCAAGTAGCGCTTTGCAAACTACCAGTTTAGTAGGGACGTGTTGTTATTTATTAATACTTTTTGGATTTAATGATGAATTCAGCATAAAAGAGCACACATTCCATGTTTATATATATATATATATATATATTTGTGTGCGCGCAGTAACTCCAAACCAGTAGCCCTATGTTGATGTTGCGGGTGTTGTTAAAGTTGGCCCTGCCCCATGAAACTATTTGCTTACATAACCTGAACTTGTTCTCCTGTGTGCCACTCAGCATCTGGTGTGTGTGAGTTTAAACGTCCAACCATGAGAGACTATTTCACGTGCTGAAAACATGTTGAATTAAAAAAAAAATAAATAAAAACGTTTGCATTTATAAACTTGCAGATGAACCAGGTGTTTAATAGATATTATTAAAGGATGGGTTTGCTCCATCAGCTCCAGCATTTGTTGGCTAATCATGTGTTCATCACATTTTCTGCACTGCACACCAAAATGATGTTTAAAGTTTTCTTATAATATGAACAGAGAGCTTGTTGTTTGTGCTCTGATGGCAAAAGCATCTCTACAGCTGCTGCTGTGTAATTAGTCCACTAGCTGACTGGAACATCAGTGAAACAGCACAGTGGTGAGTTCATGGGCTGTACCTCCTAGCTTTGATGAGTTGGTTTCTCAACAGATGGAACAAACAACACCGGCACCTCTCTAAACTCCACACACTCAGCTGTTCGCTCTGAATGTGTGGGTCATAGTGGACACTGCAGCATGTTACTGGAGGTGTTTTATGTTCCTGTATGAACCTGCTTAAGTCGGTGTATGTAGTGGGCCTGGATGGTAAAAGCTAATGCTTGTATATCAGTCAGAAGCCCGTTAGGAGGAAACGCTGGCCTGGCTGCATTAAGACACTATCTGCTAACTGTGGTATTCTAACCGACACCACCCCAACCCCCTCATGTGTCATGTCTGCCTCCTCTTGCTCTTAGATGTTTAACCTTTCCTTGACCCCTGCCTTCATCTACAAGATCTTTAACCTAAATTCCCAACTTGTCTTCCTCGGTCTGCCGTTTCCAGCTACTGATGAAGTCACGTCCGACAGCTGTCTCGCACTAACGCCTCATGCGTTTAAACAAATCAGGCTTCATGTCTGCATAATGAAAAGCTTCAGTTTAATAGGGGTTGAGAACTCTGGTCCTTCAGTATCCAGCATGTTGTAAGTGTTTCCCAGCTCAAACACTTCTGATTTAGTGGTTGAATCACCGGTTCAGCAGCTTCTCAAGCTCTGTGGGAGTCTGTTAATCACCTGATGATTATAATCAGGTGTGTTGAAGCAGTGAGACCACAAAAACATGCAGGATAGCGGCCCTCGCGCACCAGGATCCCCCAGCCCTGGTGCGATAGCCTAATAGCTCACTTAGATTTCATAAATATGAAATCTCCAGTTAGCAAAACAATCTTCTGCTTTCATGTAACAAAATGTTAAATGTGCCAAAGTTTTATAGTATGCTAACGTTACTTGGATATAAAGAGTGGCTATTAATGGATGAATGTTTAATTTGAACTTAATAATTCCAGTGAATTTAAACGTGTTCATTTTCTATATTTGAGATATAATTCATGTAATTTTATCATTTATATATTTATTTATTTATTACGACTTTTAGTTCATTTGAAAACAGTAACTTTATAAAAAATAAAAAGAAGGAATACAAATTACAATTCTTAAATGAAAAGGAGCAGATAGAAGAAAATCTTCTATGTTTATTTATGTTTATGTTTATTTATTTAGCAGACGCTTTTATCCAAAGCGACTTACAGTTTATAACCTATAGGGCATGTTGTGATCTGTGGGGGAAACCGGAGAACCCGGAGGAAACCCACACATGCATGGGGAGAACACGCATCTCCACACAGAAAGGCCGCAGCCGAGTTTCGAACCTGCAACCTTCTCGTACCCTTTTAAACTGTAGCAACTTTGTTTTTTATCAAGTTTCATTTGAATCTTTATTGTTAATGATGTTTTTGTACGCTTTATTCATCAATTTTAAAATGCTATGACCCACCAAATCTGGAAACTGGAATCCTCTGAACTCATCCGATGTGGACCGGCCGGTGCTCCGTACCTGCTCTGATGCTTCTGGCTCTTTTCTGTAGCAGCAAACGTGATTTCCCAGCGAGTGTGAGAGTAGAATGGCTGCTCCATAGTGGAAAAACATCATATTCAAGATTATTTTGGTCAGAAATGACTCAGTTATTAACAAATATATTTACTGAGATGAACACTATAGAGGTCACATTTTAAGGTGACTACAGATTAAATCATCAGACTTGTGCTGTTGGGTGGAGATAAAACTTAAGAGTGTGCCTTTGATCGCTCTAGAAGCAAAATGAAAACGTTGGACTCTGCAGGAGCCCCACGTCCACCAGACACTCGTCCCTCTGGTTACCTCTAACTGGTTTGGTGCTTTTTGCTTTGCCAGGTGCCCCCACCAGACCTTCTGGACACCTCTGAGACTTTCATGCCGTGATGGACAAAGAGGTGGTTCTTGAAGAAGAGGACATGGAGGGTTCCTGGACGCTGCTGTCTTTGTTTGCGTCCCTCCTCATGACGTTTGGGGGGGCTCTGCCATATGTTCCACAGTTTCAGGAGATCCGAAGGAGGAGCAGCTCTGAAGGTTTCTCCACCAGAGTCTGCCTGGTGCTGCTTATTGCCAACATCTTACGCATATTCTTCTGGTGAGGACATCTTTTAGGTGCTTTATTAAATCTGCAGTTGTGGTCTTCTCCCTGTAAACGTGTAGCTGAGTAACCAGAAAGGGTTTGTTGTGGTTTTAAATGACAGGATAGGGAAGCAGTTTGAGCTGACCCTGCTGCTGCAGAGCGTGGTGATGATCCTGACCATGTTCATCATGCTGCACCTCTGCTGCTCAGTCCAAAGCACAAACCAAGTCAGCACCAAGCAGCACCGGCTCACAGGTAACCACCTGGCCCCGCTTCACAGACAGAACACCTGAATCATGCCCTGAGTTGAAACGATGCACTCATACGTTTGGCCAAAAGAGGGCGCCATTTGAAAAGGTTCAAGGCAAACCTGCTGATGCACTTGCTTTCTAGCTCTCCTTTTATAAACTAGTCAGGCAGGACTATATGCATAGTAATGCATCTGTAAGTAGAAGAGAAACAAGCTTTTGGGTATTACAGATGGCAAGAAAGGGCAAATCAGACGTGTTGATGCAGTGCTGCATGTTTAGTTGTCGTGTATTTGCTTCTAAACATTTCCTGTTAGACCCGCCTCTGTCCGTGGGACTAAAAGTAATCATAATAGGCATTTTATATCCGATCAATATTATTAGTGTTGGTCTGTTTTACATTCAGCATAGTTGCACGACAGAATAAAAGTTAGTCTTGTCTTCTGAAATGACCGACTCCTCGAGTGTGTGCACGTGGAGCAAGTGCACGAGGAATTATTGCAGAAAACTAAGCTAATGGCAGCCATTGTTTCTGGTGTCATGTGGGTCGCTTTGTGTCGGTAAACACTGGAAGGAGCTCGTCCAACGCGTGTGTGTGTGTGTGTGTGTGTGCGTGCGTGCGTGCGTGTGTGTGTGTGTGTGATTAGAGCCTAAGGAGGGGTGTATCATTGTGAATGATCTGCTGACTGGAATGTCTTGTTGAGTAAAAACAAAACGGTTTCATTCGTTTTTCTGTCATTTAGGATTTGAGAAAATTATCTTATTTGTTTCAGATTTGAAGTTTTTGTCTGTTTTTCCAGATTCAGTGAAGCAAAGTTCAGAATCTTGCAGCTTTGTCGACTAAAGAATGAAGTTGTTGCACGCTTTGGTTGTTTATCTAAACGCTGAACCGGATTTTTCTTCATCATCTATGCTGATAAATTACTCATCAGCTGATTTTTATTTAGCACAGCCCACGCAGCAAGCTTCGGTACAACGGTGTCATACAGTGTGTGTGGTGGTGGGCCGTGGGGCTTTACTCTGACGGGTCGGTTCCTCTATAAGCAGCCAGGAATGATTAGGAGTGCTGAAGCTTTAATGTACGCTTCACCAGCAGCACGGTAACGTGACCCGACCTCCAGCCTACCCCCGGCGCTGTAAAGGGCAGGTTTGAGGTGTGGTTTCCCACAAAGCTGGTGCGATGGGGGGTGTGGGGTCAGGACAAGAATAGATCTGAACTGCTGCCCTCTTCCAACAGATCAGGATTATTTCTGAGCGTCTGCTCTTCACGTGTGTGTTGGCTAGTTTCACCGTCAGCCACGCACTCACAATACTCATTCCTTCTTCTCACCTCACTCCTTTTTTATTCTGTTGGGCACCTTCCTGTAAGAGAGCTCCTCTTCTGCTGCCGTTTCATCAACGCCCTCCTCCTCCTCCTCCTCCTCCTCCTCCTCCTCGGGCTCATAACTTTTCTACTCTGGTGACATTTCAAGCTGCCGAAGTCCACAGTGGTATAATTCCTGCTCCGTTTGCTCACATGCCAGCACCTGTCCTGTACTTATCAGCCGAATTTTCCACCTATTGAAGCCTCTCATGAGGAGGAACAGCTGACGGAGCGAGGGTGTTGGCTGCAGCTGTGACTGCTGACTGCGATGCCCGTCCTTCGCCTCCAGCTGCTTTCCCCCGCGCTTCAGAGGAAGAATCTGTCGCCGTTTTCGCTGCATTGACTCCAGATTTGGCTGATAAAAGATTTAAAAAGGTTGTTCTGTGCTGTAAGGAATCTACTGAGTTGAAGTCATTTGAAAGTGATCATTAGATTTAGTTAAATTAACTCTTTTTGTTTAGTTTAAGATGCTGCTGGTGGTTTTTTAGCTTGTTTATTTGTGAAAGTTGAATTTAAACCTTTTGTTAAACTCACTTGAGGCCAAACTCAGTTTGGCACATTAGTGCAAGCCTGTTCATTGATTTAAATGGCTGTTTGCTCCCGTTTAGCTGTGAGACGTGTACATAAGGGTCTTTGTCTCACATGCAGGTTAAGAACCTTAAAAGATGTTTTATGATGTTTTATTATGAACTTATTATTTATTGATCACGCGATTGAAGGATTTATGAGGGACCAGTCAGTATGAGCAGACACGTTTTTTTACTGTTCCCTTCTTCATAACAATACTCTTTCTTCACAAGGTAACACTGAGTACTGTTTTAAACTTTAGAGCTTTAACGTTGATCTCAGTGATTGTTGAGTTTAAACTTGGCCAGTTTCATATTCGCCACCGCTCTGCTGCCCTCTGCTGACCAGACACTGCACTTAACAGTTTTTGGAGCAGGTAGGTGCCCTGTAGGAAAACCTTTTGTGACATAAATGTTTGTTTCTCGTATTGCATCATGGGAGTTTGTGGCAAGAAATAATGTATTTTGTCTATAATTAAGTTGTTTTGCACGTTTGGAGGAGGATTTATCAAAGCAGATGGTGTGTGGTTGGTTGTTCGACCCGTGGGAGGCTTGATACAAAGTTTTATTCTAATTTCTGCCGTAAACGACCACATGATATAAAAGAGATAATAGGAAGTGATCTGGACTCTCAGAAGAAAGCCTGGACTCGCAGCAACGAACAGTTTGTGAGGCTCATTTAGGTCGTGGTAGGTCCTTGTAACTAAGTATTTGCTAATTAGAGAAGATGCTTTAAAGAGCAAGTCACCCCCTACCAGATTCTTAACTCCCACTTCCTGTTTGAAAAATGCAACAAATGCTGTTGCCTGGCAGACCGAGAGGGCGGAGCCACTAACACACACACACACACACACACACACACACACACACACACACACACACACACACACACACACACACACACACACACACACACACACACACACACACACACACACACAACGACATTGTGACATCATATGGTAACAGCTAACGTTCTAGGGTACCTCTTAGCCAATAGCGGTGGCAGATTTAAATTCAAATGCAGTGCAGAGTTTTTACCTGACAACGGCACAACTCTGACAGTTTTAGGCTGAAAATTTTAATTTTAACAAAAATGCACTAAAGTGCAAAACTACTGACGCCACGTGTCTGCAGCACGATTAGACACGCATTTCAATTAAATTCAAAAATACTTTATTAACCCCAGAGGGAAAGTGATTGCTGTAGCTCAGAATAATAATAATAATAATCAAGTCATCAAAGAGTTGTTGTATATTACAATGGCTGTTGGCAGGAAGGATCTCCAGTAGCGGTCAGTGTTGCAGCCAAACTGAAGAAGCCTCTGACTGAAGACACTCTTCCGTTGTCGGACAGTCTTGTGAAGAGTTTCGAACCTGAGCATTCTCAGGGTTGTCCATCATGTTCTTGATTCTCTGGAGAATCCTTCTTTGCATGATCTCCTCCAGCGGTTCCGAAACTCTGGCTGAGTCCTTGAAAGGGCTTGGAGTTCCTCCATCTTGTTGGCCAGTGATCTCACATCGCCCGTTATGATCGATGGAAGAGATGGTTTGAATTTCCTCTTTCTATGTCTCCGTTTTGCTCCCGCTCTGCACCCACGCTTCTTGTGTTTTAGCTCATTTGGGATTTGTGGCTTCAGTTGAGGTATTATTTCAGCCTTTCCAATGTTAATCAGCTGCTACTGATTGTAAACCATTTGTTGCCATGGTTACGCATCATAACAAATGCTCAAAAAGTGAAAAAAGCTAAAAAATAGCAGTAAAAATCCTCCAAGCGTCACAGCACCAGAAACAGAAAAGTAAAATGTCCAAAAAATACAGTTTTTCTTCAGAAACTAGAAGAAAAAATGCCCAAGAAAAGGCTAAACTTACATAAAGTCAACCGAGCTACTCCAACATGCAGCCACCCAGACCAGCGCGGTTCCGGAATAGTTTATATAGTTTATCATAAATAAAGTGGATTTGGGGGTGACTTGCTCTTTAAAAGCATTCATCTTTGTGTATTTTTAAATCCACGGACTCGTTGTTTCCTGTTCTGATTCAGGTGTCTCAACTCACGATCATTTTAATAATAAATAAAGAAATAAAAAAGGAGACAGATTAGTTAAGGCTTACCCAGCTTTGCAGTTGCAGTGTTAGATGATAAATGACCCGCACTTGTACAGCGCCTCTCAGAGTAGGGACTCCAAAGCGCTTTACAGTGTATCATTCATCCATTCACACACTGATGGTGATGAGCTACGATGTAGCCACAGCTGCCCTGGGGCGCACTGACAGAGGCGAGGCTGCCGAGCACAGGCGCCACCGGTCCCTCCGACCACCACCAGCAGGCAAGGTGGGTTAAGTGTCTTGCCCAAGGACACAACAGCAGAATTCTCTGTGCGGAGCCGGGATCGAACCTGCAACCTTCCGATTACTGGACAACCCGCTCCACCTGTTGAGCTGCTGCTGCCCCGTCACCTACAGGTGATGTAAACAACACTGTGGCTCTGCTCGTCGGGCTGACTGCTGCTCTTAGCACGACCGCCGCTTCCTGCTTCCAGAAGAGATTGGCTTAACTTTTCTTAAAACAGAATAATCGTAGGCCTCCAGACGTTTGAAAGTCTTTAATTTTTTATGAATCAAGAGCGCAGGATTTGTCTCCCCAGCAGATTAGTGGATGAAACAAACAACGGTCTATGGGATGTATGTTTTCCATCATCCCAGAGCTCAAACAGGCTTTTTAATAACTTTCATTTAGTCACAAATACAGATTTTAAGCCTCTCTCCAAACCTGTTTTTAGACGGTAACGTGTTTATTTAGCGGGGATTTCGCCCACAAACTCTTAAAAGTTTGCGTTGTGTATTGATAGCTGGCCACTTTGTGTTTGTTTTTGCCGCCCAGCCACTCGCGCACAAAGATGAAAAAAGATGTCAACAAAGATCCTCCTATTGGATAAGCTCTTTACCTGCTCATGGCTGTTAGTTGTGATGCTAGCAGTTAGCTTGTTCAGTTTGCCGATCATCAATAAAAAGCACAAGAAGAAGAAGTTTGCTTTTTTGTTGGCATCATGGCAGAGCCTGGAAGTAAAAGTTAGAG